AGGTACGTCTCTTGTGAATATCAATTGATTGTTAGGTTTTCTCTTTTGAAATTACATTATGACGCATTCACATACATTATTAATACAAATACATTTTCCATGGCGAGACGATGAGGCAACCACAAGCACTTCCACTGGTTCAAGAGGTCCACGAGGGAAAAATGCACAATATTACCGTGATTACAGAGCACGGAAGCGAGCGGAGCAGGAAAAAGAGTCTTTGAATAGAACTAGAGATCCTTCTACGACTGCTGATTCTTCTACAATTAACGTCGCAGGTTACGAAGTTTAACTTCTTCCGCGCGGAGAGACTCCACGCACTATTTTTTTTTTTTTTTTTAAATTATAAAAAATTTTTTTTTTAAAAATGACGGTCATTTTAAATTAAATACAAATTTTTAAAAAAGTGACGTTTATCTGTTTTAAAATTTAATAATTTTAACCCATACTAATTTAGTATAAACAGGGTGTTTAAATTTTGTTATTTTTCACTTTATAGCGTACCATTATTTATTTATTCACTGTTACTGTATTACTAGTATCTCGCGTGTTTTGATTATTACTTTTACTTGTTATATTATTAATCACGTAGATTTTTTTTGAGGTTATAATTTTTTGTACACAAATGCTTTCGTGAATTTTGATCGTGGCTCTGCAGAGCAACAAAACTATTTTAATATAATTTCTTAAAGTGGTATCTTTTTACATTTTCAGAAAACCGAAATAAAATTAAGTTTTAACTTAACCAAAAAAAATATTTTTTTTTTTTTTTTACAATGTAGAAAATGTTATTTTTATTTTTAAATTTCATAATTGTCCTAAAACGTAAGAACTTGAAAGAAATGATATAAAATTGCAGTTCCTAATGTTGCAAATAAAGATTTTGTGATATTATTAGAATACAAGAGAAAATATTATTTCAAAAACAATTCGCATTAGAGTTGCTTTCAAACATTTGAATTTTTAAAAAAAAAATCAGTTAAAAAAACGACAATAAAAAACGTGTTAATTATTTGCCGTCAAAAATCACGAACAGAAAAATTCTTTTTTCTGTCAAAATTGCTCTATAGTTGTGGAGGAACAAAATTGAATATTCAGCAAAGAAAATGTATTTCACCAAATAAAAAAAATCGATGAAAATCTAAATTTTTCAATTAAACGGAAGAACTATTTAAACAAGTTCACTACATTTCTTATTTCTTGTTCTAAAAAAAAATCGACTATATTACACTCTTACTGAGTGTTTTTAAAGCATGCAACAAAATAAATAAATCAAAAATCGCTGTGGATGAGAAAAAAAGTTCGTTGTCCTTTTATTTTTTTTTCATTTTTGCGGACATTATTTTAAGGGTTCAAAAGGCAGACAGAATTCTATGTGGCGCCAAATTCAGAAATGAAACGAAAGAGCAATTTTGTTAGCATTTTGAATGTCATAATTACGGGTAATTTTCACTTTTCATAATAGTTGAATGAGTAACAGTAGCGAATAAAAGAGCGCCAACATCCGCTTTAGGGGAAAAAAGTCACTTTTTTAATACACGTTGGCGTCTGAATAGAACAAATAAATGAATTCATAAGGGATTCTTGAAAACAGTGTGCCTACAATAGCAATGAGATATAATTGAAAGAAGAAAAAAAAGATATATATTTTTTTCAGCATTGCGAATTCGCCCCAAGAAAATATTTTCGTTCTAAACGTACTTTATCGGGCCATATTTTCTAGTAATTATAATATAATTTAGTTGAAATATTTTTGGGTGGAGATTAATTTATAAACATTAATGACACAAATGAACTCGATGAAAAATGAAAGTATAATGCACCAGCGAAAATAGCTTCCAATTGTTACACTCTCTACCTGACCCCACGCAAACCTTCACTGTCACGCACCTTTATATAAACAAAGCCCTTTATTGATATATTTTTCTCTGTATTTTCTGAAATTATCAGTAGATGGTGGTAAAAATAGCATCCTATTAATATTTAAAAATTAATAAAGTGGTGGGAAGTATACTTTTCACAGCCTTATAATGGGTAAAAATAATGTTACGGAATAAGGTAATACCATAGCGTACCTTAAGATAACAAAGGAAAACTACTTCTAGCTTTGAAACTTCAATATGGAGTAACCAAAATAAATAAATAAATAAAACGAAATGATAGCAAAAAGGGCTGATAAATAAATGATACAGGTAAATACGGTTATGAAGAGGATAAATAAATATTTCCGTTCAAAAGACCTTAATTGTTAAAATAGAATTGTGACGTAATTAAAAGATCTCTTTATTGATTTTATGCTGATAATGACAACCAACTTGATAGATTTTTTTGTTAATTAAGAAGCTTGTGATTTTATAACAATTAATTGATATCGTTCCTCATTACTTGTAGGTTTACACTGACACGGCAAAACTTATTCCTCTTGTTTTATGATATAACTTATTTATATGATATGGTCTTAATGGTCACGTTCCTCATTTTTGAAAGATTGTGACATCATAACTGAGACCGTGCCACATATTTACATGATATGGTATTAATCCAATCGTGACACATTTCTGAAAGATTAGCATTGCCATGGTAATTTTTTTTCTTAATTCTGTGTCAATTCAACTGTATAACTTATTTACATATTGTTCCAATCCTACAGTTCCTTTTTCACGATAGATTTTCACTGACTAGGCAAAACTTATTTACATGATATAATCTTAACCCTATCATACCTCATACCCCCGTCAAAATTCCTGATGGTTTTCCATTGATGGACCAACATAATCTTGATGGCAACCAACATAAGAAACCATCACCCCAATGTAGGAATTCGGACTGATTTATGATGGTCCAAATTCCGGAGAATGAAGAAGAATTCCCATTAAATCATAGTTGAAATGTATAGTTGGAACAATCATGGACCATCACGGATTATTATGGATTGTTGGTTCATGAGAATCAAACTTCTCTTGGTGGTTAACCATCATAGTAACATTTTTCATAATGGAATGATTGAAAAGTTTGTTGGCTTACCAAACAACATGACAGCAGAATGGAAAAAGTGAGATGATTGTAACCATCAAATGATGTTGGACCATCAAGAATCGTACTGAAACCATCAAAATATTTTGATGGAACCATCAAGAATTTTGACTTGGGTATCTTTTTTTTCTGGAAAAATTTGCATCCACAAGGTCTTCTTTCCAGTGAATTGACATGGTGAAATTAATTAAATATATTGAGCCTATCGTACCTAAAAATATATCCTAAACCCACAGAAACTTTTTTTACTACAAATTTGAAGTAAAAGATTTTTTTTAGAAAATAAATATTAAGGGCTCAGTAGATTAAATGGATTTTTTTTAAATTTTCAATTCAAATCAAGAATATATTTGTGCAGAGTACACAAGAAATTGTTAATATTGCTTAATTATATATTATTTAATTTACTTACAATCAGCAAACATATTTGATGAAAGAAATTGTATTACAATGATACAATTTTTGGATAAATTTTCCATAGTTTAAGACTGTCAAATAGCGTTTAGTTTAGTTTAGATATAATTATTTATTATTTAGTTTATAATNATACAAAATTCAAATTCAAATTGAAAGCGTTGCAACGCACGCAGGGTACAGCTAGTATATTATAATTATAATATATTATAATTATAATATTATTTAGTTTAGATAGCGTTTGGAGTCAAATAGCTAGATTTTTATATTTTTTATCGAGATTTTGGCTAATTTTATGGACGTTACATTCTTTACAAATATAAAAAGAAAAATCTCTGGAAACTATTTTAGAGCTGGATTATTTTAGTAATTTTAAAGTTGATTTCGTGACATTATAAATTAGTGTATAAGCTGCATTGTAAAAAAATAAGAATTGGATATTAATCAGTCAAATTAATGCACCTACCTCAATTGAAATGATATTTTCAGCGTTTAATTTTGATCTTGTTTCTTCAAGAATGCCTTTAATTTCTCCATCAAACAGCATTTGTAATACTAGAGATTAAAAAAAAAGGAACATAAGCTTAATGTAAAATGATAAATATCTTTTTAATGAAATCTTTTAAGTTAATATAAGTTAATGTTTTAACAAATGAACAAGTAAAAAGTATACATTAAAAAAAATTGACATCAACAACTTGAAACAAAATATTTGTTATTGTAGCGTATCTGGCATTTTATTGCATTTTTCCCCACTTTTTGTGTAATTTTCGTGAGTATCATTATTATTTTTTAATACTAATAATACATGATAATCTCGTTCGGATCAACAAATATATACGTTTTACAGTTTTAACAAATGTATACATAAAATGTATACATTAAAAACTTCTACATAGTATACATTTTTTTTACAATTTTTTTTCTACATCTTTTAAAAATAGTTTCAAGTATACATTAAAACTATTTAAAAAAAAGTTAACATCAACCACTTAAGCAAAATGTTTGTTATTGTAGCGTATCTGGCACTTTATTGCATTTTTTTTTACTTACTAATTTTTTATGTAACTTTCCTGAGCATCATTATTATTTTTTAATAATAATAATGCATATTAATCCCGTCGGGATCAAATCACAGTGTCGATTTCAAAAAATACGTTTCTACATATTTAATTACTATATGGGTCACTGTAGATTGGAGATTCAATTTTAAAAAAATGGACTCGTGTAAATTCGATTTCTAAGAGGTGGGTTGCTACAGATTCGCTTTATAAAAGGTGGAATGCTAGAGATTCGATTTCTAATACAGTCGAACTTGTTTATAACGAGCTCGGATTTAACGAGAACTCGGATTTAAAGAGGGAAACGATAATATTTGGTTGGATCAATGTTAAGTTTATGGAACAGAAGTCACTTTTAACGAGCAAGACCCGGTTTTAGCGAGCAATATTTTTCTGTCTTGCAATCTTTTTTCGCATCTTTCTAGTCTTTCTGTCTTATCTTTTTTTCAAAATGAGCGAGAAATCAAAAAAAATCGCGAACTGAAACTTAATTGCCCTTATCACTCTAAAGCTTTACCAGTTGACGAAAAAGTGAAAATTTTACAGGAGTTGGATGACGGTGTGAAAAAAGTCGAAATCTGCAAAAGGTGTGGATTGTCTTCATCTACTGTTTCCACACTGCTAAAAAACAAAGGCAAGTTAATGGATGCATACGACCAAAATAAAACAGACTGTAAACGACTGAAGAAGTGTTCGAAAGAGGATTTAGACGAAGCGTTATTGAAATGGATGAAGGTGCAATGTAGTGCTGATTTACCTGTGAGTGGACCTATTCTAAAAGTGCAAGCAGAAAAATTTTCTGAACAATTTGGATATTCTGAGTTCGTTGGGGGGTTGAGGGGAGGGGTTAGTTGTCATTAAATTAAGAAAAGTATTTAATTAATGTAAGTAAGTATTTATTAAATTTTAAGCAAACTTGATCATTTGACCTCCCAAGTTCCCCCTCCCTCTTCTGGTTGCACCCCTGCCTCAAGGACCCGTTTATTACGAGCACTCGGATTTAACGAGTACATGTTACGGTCCCTTTGTGCTCGTTATAAACGAGTTCGACTGTATTATTAAATAATTTTAGAAATATTGCTCAAGATACATTCCAAAAGACCCTAAAATTTCAATTATGTATTAACATGATTTTTTTAAATTTTCAAAGGCATTATAAAATATGTGAAAAGAAGTTTCTCATTTTAAATAAATCATGTCATTACTATAAAGCTGAAAAAGTAATTTTATTATTGAAAGAATAACCTAAATCTTATAAAGGTTTTTTCCCTATTACACTTCAACCATGGCCAAGCCCCGTTTTTCATGCTCTTTCTTTTAACAGTAGGAATGNGTGTAATTTTCCTGAGTATCATTATTATTTTTTAATACTAATAATACGTAATAATCTCGTTCGGATGAAATCACAGTTTTAACAAATGTATATACGTAAAATGCATACATTAAAAACTTCTACATAGTATACATTAGTTTTTTTTTTACACTTTTTTCTACGTTTTTTAAAAATAGTTTTAAGTATACGTTAAAACTATTTAAAAAAGTTAACATCAACCACTTAAGCAAAATGTTTGTTATTGTTGTGTATCTGGCATTTTATTGCGTTTTCTAGTCCACTTCTTGGTGAATTTTTTCTGAGCATCATTATTATTCTTTAATAATAATAATTTCGTTCGGATCAAAATCACAGTTTTAACAAAATAAACACGTAAAAAGTAGATATTCAAAAAAAAAAAAAAAAAAAANAAAAAAAAAAAAAAAAAAAAAAAAAAAAAAAAAAAAAAAAAAAAAAAAAAAAAAAAAAAAAAAAAAATAGAGAGAGAAAGAAAAGGAAAGAAAAAATTAAATTTTAAAAACTTGAAGCAAAATGTTTGTGATTGTTAGCGTATCTGGCATTTTATTGCATTTTTTTTACTTACTTATTTTTTCTGTAACTTTCCTGAGCATCATTATTATTTTTTAATAATAATAATACATAATAATCCCATCCGAATCAAATCAATTAAAAAAATACGTTTCTACATATTTAATTACTATATGGGTCACTGTAGATTGGAGATTCAATTTAAAAAAAATGGACTTGTGTAAATTCGATTTATAAAAGGTGGGTTGCTATAGATTCGATTTCTAAAAGGTGGAATGCTAGAGATTCAATTTCTAAAAATTAGGATGCATAGATTCGATTTATAAAAGGTGGAAAGCTAGAGATTCTTTTTCTAATAATTCTGGTGCATATTCGATTTCTAAATTGGGGAGCATATATTCGAATTTCTATAGGGTGGGTTGCAATAGATTTGCTCTCAATAAAAATTGGGTTGCCATAGATTCGATTTTTAAAAAGTGGAATGCTGGAGATTCGATTTCTAATAATTGGGGAGCATAGATTCGATTTCTAAAAAGTGGAATGCTAGAGATTCAATTTTTAATAATTGGGACGCATAGATTCGATAACTGAAAGGTGGAATGCTAGATATTCAATTTTTAATAATTGTTGAGCATAGATTTGATTTTTAAAAGGTGGAATGCTAGAGATTCAATTTTTAATAATTGGGGAGCATGGATTTGATTTCTAAAAGGTGGAATGCTAGAGATACAATTTTTAATAATTGGGACGCATAGATTCGATTTCTGAAAGGTGGAATGCTAGAGATTCAATTTTTAATAATTGGGGAGCATAGATTTGATTTCTAAAAGGTGGAATGCTAGAGGTTCAATTTTCAATAATTGGGGAGCATAGATTTGATTTCTAAAAGGTGGAATGCTAGAGATTCAATTTTTAATAATTGGGGAGATTTCCATAGATTTGATTTCTAAAAGGTGGAATGCTAGAGATTTAATTTCTAATAATTGGGACGCATAGATTCGATTTTTGAAAAAAAAAATGGATCACTATAGATTCAATATCTAAATAGTGGAATGCAATGTTTTTAAATTCGGGAATCTAGTAAATAAGAAAATAAGTTTTGGAAAAGGAAATTAAAGGTTGTTCTTGTGAGCAGGCATTGTACTGGTCGAATGCAGAGGGTGGAGACAGTTCATATCCGGGCTATTATTACACCCCCTACTTTCTTCGACATCCTGTGATTATAACACTGTTTTCTCTTTTTTATTCTTGGGTCCACAGAGTGACTGTCATACAGGAATGAAATGAGCGATTGTTTTCAACATGTCTGATGTCAACCGTTACAGTTATGGCTAGCACTGAATAAAACATATCTTTGAATGTGGACGTTTGTTCTTATGATTAGAGAAAAAAGAAAACTGCTTCCGCTTACATTTTTATTTTAATTTTTACAAATACAATATATATGATATGTACAAAATATGTACAGAGCTGGAAGGCATATACAGATATTATAGAAAAAGCTAAAATAATACCAGTTTTTACTTATTTGATTAGCATTATTTATTTTCCTCCCGGGTGCGGTAATTAACTTTTTTCTTTTAATTAACTTTAACATATTTTTTCATAAACAAAAATTCAATTTTTTCTGTTAATTTTTACTAGGTAAATTTTAAAGGCTTCATGTTTGGAAACTGTTTTATTTATGCCAAACTTAACAGATAGAAAAACACCCGAAAACTTTTGGAAATATGGGAGAAAATATTAAAATTGCGCATGAACAAACAATTTTTCAAATAAATTAATGAAGACTACAACTTTTATGTTAGAACAAGTAAAACATTTGTTAAAAAAGCAAAAATAAATAAATAAATACAATTAACATTAAAAAATAATTAAAGTAATCAAGTGAATTGTTTAACCTCAAATGTGTATGCGCATTAGTTTCATGAATACTGAAAATTGTTAAAATTCAATACACTAGAAGGCTCCGCCCCCTGCTCGCTAACGCTCNATTAAATAAAAAAGTAAAAATTAATAAATACAATTAATTAATGAAGACTCAACGCTTATGTTAGAACAAGTAAAATATTAAATAAAAAGAGTAAAAATAAATCAACACAATTAACATTAAAAAAGAATTAAAGTAATCAAGCGAATTGTTTAACCTCAATTGTGTATTCGCATTAGTTTCATAAATACTGAAAATTGTTAAAATCCAATACATTGTTAAAATGTTTAAAATAAACAATACAATTATTTAAATTACATAAAATTATATGTAGGTTATTCAGAAAATACACCACAAAGCTTACCACTGAATTTTAAAGGCTCTGATGACATTTTTCAACAGTCATAAAATTTTTACGAACATCTATATTTTCGTCGTCAAACAGCCAACCCAATTTTTGAGTTTACGACTGCTAATGTTCAATAACATAGCCTTGAAATATTGGACCCAACCCAGAAGAGAAGGAAACTCCTGGATCAAAAATTCGGCAAAATTTGCCATCGTGGAGGTCTTTTGATGGAATTAACCAGCATTTACATCATATAGAGAGGGAATCCACGAAAACCTTCCACGGTTAACCTGACTGTTAAGGGATTCTAACTCATGAAACATCTATCAATTACGGTATTTTACGCCAGCACTG